CATTAAGTGCCCTCATAGCAGCAGAATCTAGCCTCATACAGCTGTCAAGATTATATCTTTGAATGCTATAATTTCCATAATTGCTCTCGTCAGCAAGTAATTCTGCATAAGAGAGCAATGCCCCCAATGCACCAGGTGCAAACTCAAACCCCGACACTAAATCTCTAACTGGTTCAATGGAGCCTTTGACAAGCCGACTGAGATCCTGAACCAAATCCCTCATCTTAAATTCAGTCTTCTTCCTCTCGGTTAACATCACACCACATCTACTCAATGCATCATGCAATGTTCTAATTTCGCTAGTTTTGCCACTCTCCAGAGGCAGAAGGCATTCCTTGCAACCAAGTGCAACTAAAGCTGATTCCACATTTGTAAAGTGACTATCATCAATAAATTCAGCTAATCCAAGTACTCGTTTAGTTAGATCAACATATCCTAACCCAACTGTGCAACCATTTTCCTGAAAGTTAGGTAATAGCGCAACAACCACTGGGGTATCCTGCATCTCATTGTTGGCAAACAAAACATCTTCGAAACTGCAAAGGTTTCCAGGGGTTCCACTTTTCACCAGCCTCCAACTTGAGCCACTACCCTCATAAATCTCAAGAGTATGGTCTGTTCTTTCCAGTATTAGATCACGTGCAATCGTCTCAAACATGTTTTTACTAACACTCACACTGGATAGGCCATTGGATCCGCTACCCAACTGTCGTAAAGCAGTGGTGGTACGGTAGTAGGTCTTTGCAATGAAAGTGGCATTTTCACCATGCGCGGTATAGTAGTCCTGAGATAACAAGTCACATCCAATGGTCAAAAACAATAAGAATTACCGAGAACCCGACAGATAAATAATAGAGGGGAAAAGGGAAAAATAAAATTAGGGAATGCACAAAAGAGAGCCGGAATACAAACTGACCCGTCGATCAAACAATCGAATAGCTCTTGAATCCTGTAAAAACAGAAACACAGCAAAACCCAAATAATCAAACCGGAAAGCAAATGCAATGAAACAAAATCAAAACGAAATCTTAAAGTCCATTTCCATCTCTAGCCAAAGTCATTCAAATATATAAATAAACAAATACAAAAATAGAAACAAAACATGATTTTTATCACTTTCCCCTTCAATTTCAAGAAATTAAACAGACAGCTAGGGTCTTGAATACTCACATTGGGGAGGGTTTTGAAGAATGAGAGAAACCCTTGAGATTGCTTTGCATCTGACAAAATTGCAGCAAATATATAAATACAGAAACATACATAAGCGCACACACACACACACACACATATTCAAAACTAATTGATGTGATTAGTAACAAATGCAAAGCTAGGGTTTTTGCGATGTTGTACCTAGCTTGAGCTCGGGAAGCTTGCTGTGGTCCTCAAAATTGGCATCCATGGCCAGTCCGCTGCTAGGACTTTCGACTCTCCGAGCCAGAAAATAGAGCTCTTCGTGCCTCGAAGTCTCTGAAAGTGTGGGTTTTGCACACGAAAACGAAGTGAAATTTAAATTTTTAATGGAGTTTTGGGGATTTGGCGGGAAAGAGACGAGCGGCCGCGGGCTTTCTGCAGGGCCGCGCGTGTGCCGCGCTCATTCGTTGTATTTCTTCGTACGCAACTGAAATCTGGCGCGAGGGGTTTTCGTATGTTCGTTGGACTTGGGCCGGCCCAAGAAGGCCTAGATCTTTTTTTTGCCCTTTTTGGATGAGGATGGTGCTTTGGAATTGTAAGCACTCTATGTTGGGAATGAATCCATATTGATAGGAGGAAAAACTTTGCATGGCTTTATAAGTAAGTTGAACTATTTCCTATATTGTCAATTGATTTTATGGTGGAATCTCAACTTTCTTCATGGTATTATAGGAGGTTGTCACGTGTGTGAAGCTCAACGGCCACACGTGCTCCAAGTCACTCGATTTGTGTTATTCAATTGATTTTATAAGTAAGTTGAACTACTTCCTATATTGTCAATTGGTTTTATGGTGGAATCTCGACTTTCTTCATGGTATCATAGGAGGTTGTCCCATGTGTGAAGCTCAACGGCCACACGTGCTCCAAGTCACTCGATTTGTGTTGTTCAATTGCTAGGCTTGAAAATTCGTCACACGTGAGAGGGCGTATGGAGAATTTCAATTCTACATCGAGAAAAGAAGGAACCTTGCATATGTGTAAAGTATTTAAGTTGCTCCCTGTATTACCAATTGATTTTATAGTATAACCTTAACTTATTCACTATCTTCTTTTCCTTTTTTACTTGTTAGTTTGTTTATTGTCAATGTAATTAGATTTTGCATCTTCTTGCTAAGCATGAGGTTATGTTTCTTGATTTTGAGATTTGCATTGTTGACGGGTCATCTTGGCCTAATGATGTACTTATCTTTCTCTCGTTTAATTTCCAAAAGAAAAAGACGCAGTTACTTAGTACTACAATCTAGAACTACATTCACGTGATAATTTAAAGGTGTGAACAAGCGAAGTCAAATACCATGTTCAAGTTTGACTTGTATAAAATTTATCTAGTTTTACTGGTCTTACTTTGTATTATCTCCTTTATAATTCGAGCTAAAAAGAATATTAGATCAAGTTAATTATATATATATATATATATATATATATTATCGTCCTTGTTTTGTCCCAAAACTACACCTTACATACATAGAGCTAGAGACCATCATTTGTTTAAGGGAATTTTGACGAAAAAATTTATGGTATTGTTCACTTTAACGAAAAACCACATTTTTACTTTTAAAAGTCAATTCTTGTAGTATTCACTTAAAACACTTTTTTTTTTCATTTTCATTAAAACTCAAAATTTTCAAGTTATTTTAATTAGTTTTTCTTTTGTTTAACCTATGAAATTTAATAACAAAATTTCATTTTTGTGGTGAAGAAAAATCATATAAAGTGGGACACACACACGCACAGTGACACTCATCGTTTTCTGAATGGGGTGTGCTATCTACACACCCCTTTTTACTTCTTACACATCCCTTGTTAATTTTTGTCCGTTGATCTTCTTCAATTCATCCGATCCGACGGCCGAAAACAAAAAAGGTGTGGGAGAAGTAAAAAGGGGTGTGTGGATATCATACCCCTTTTTGAATATAGCTGCTTAAAACAGTTTATTAATCAATTATCTCTTGTTGTACCCACTTTTTTTTTTTTTTTTTGGAACAAGCTTGTTGTACCCACCTTACACTTAAGAACTTGTCCTATTCCCAGGAATCGTATCAGACCCAAAAAGAAACAAAGGAAAAGACAATCTTAATTAAAAAAAATAGAGAAAAATGTCTTCTGTGATATACGATCAAAACTGTACTTAGCAGACAAGGACCTTTAATAATTTTCTTATCCAGATATTTTTTTGTTTTTGTAGTTTTCTTTCCCAATTTTTGCTACAACGTGTATAGTGTGAGACCATTGCTTCCTTCCACCTTACACGGTAAACTAGTTTTCTCAAAAACCTAATTTTTTTTTCAACCTTAATCTGTGTGTATCTCTTTGGCATCATCTTCGTAAGTTATTCCGTTGGATGTATATCTCATCATAGAAGGGCCTACTGTAATATAAAGATAAATAAATCTCATAACAAGACTAGATTCAGAGTCCTAAAGAATCAAAGAAGCCGAGACTTTGTATCTTCTTTATTTGAAAGTGGTAAATTTTTTTCTTTAAATGTAGTCGGTTCTCCGCACTCTTCATGTCATTCGTCCGAGACGAACATAATATTTTAGTTTTTATTTTTCTTTCTGCCAAGGCATTCGCTCACTCGTTCGTATCGATAGGTACTACTCAAAATACATACTCGTTTGATTCCATAAATGCCAAAAACAGTCAAATACACTCCAAATCAAATTAAGTCAATATTGGCTTGAAATTAGTTTGGCCATATATATATAATACAACCTAAAAAGACGCTGATATATATATATATATGTGTGTATGTGTGTGTGTGTGTGACATGCAGAAATCCTAGCTAGGTGCTTTCTTTTCAGAGTATGATGAGAAGCTACTTGATAAATAAGACCACCCGGTGCTCATGAGTCATGGGAGAAGAAAAATAAGCGCTTTGCGCACAGTAACCGTACGTAAACGTACAGCATCGGCCGTAGACTATTCTTAGGTAGCATCCAGGCCTCCACAAAGTCGTCATGTCATCAATTAACAACTTGCGTGTTAAATATTGAGAATGAGTTACATATTGATGAGAGAAGAAATCTTGCATGGCCTTAAAACAAGTTCAGCCCTATCTTTTAGGTTAGCCCAAAGCCTAAAAAAAAAGGCTGCCACCCAAAAAAAACCCATCCCCCCTAAAAATAGGTCAACTTAAAGTCCAAGCCAGTTTGTAGGATGACCCAAAATGGGTTGAGGTAAACACCGCATGACGTCAGTGGACAACACAAATTTTTTTTTTTGCGTCAAGCATGTGGGAAACACGCGTGTGTGTCCCCGACACGTCGGGCCCGTGCTGCAGGCGCACTAAAAGGGCACAGGACATGAGCCAGGTGGCTAAGCCTCAACCGTTGGATTTCCAATGGTAAAAAAAAATTGAAATTCAAACCCAGCATACGGCTAATGACATGGCACAATCTGGACCATTCAATTTTCAGATCAACGGTCCATATTATTCAGCCAAAAAACTTTAAAATATCATAAATTAATAATATTTTTTATAAATTAATAATATTTTTTATAAATAAAAAATGTTAGAAATTAAAAATAAAATTATTATTATTTAATTAATTTTTAATAAAAAAATTAATAAAATTTTAATAAAATGGACTAGGCTATTTAGTTTTAGTGGTGGAGATACACTTGGTCAATTACTATTTATTTCAGTCAATTACTATTCATTTGGGTGGATTAAATAGACTTTGGGCCAACTAATTTTTTAGGGGTGGAGTTTGACACACCCCGATCCTGATGTTCGAGGGACATCGAGATGACCGCATGCTGGCCGACACCCGAGGGTGACGCAAGCCATTTAATGAATGCATATGTTGAGAACATGTGAAACATGCATGTAAATTTCGTGCGAACTACATAATGTTATATTCCAACATAAACCTTATAAAATTATATAATAATATTCAACTACCAACAATGATAATGATAATGGTAATGCATGACATGTTTAGAGCATACATCTACTTAAGAATACGAGCGGAAGGTGCTATTACAAGTGATGTCAAAGCAAAGAGGATGGCACAATGTCACTGGTAGGGGAATGCCTCATAGCTTGCATCGTATGGCTCGTTTCTATGTCCTGAAATATCACAAAACAAACATTAGTGGACCAAGTTGATATATGAATAGTACGAACATAATTATTCAACAACGTACTAACCCCCAAAGTTATGAAAACTCATATAGCGTAATATATAATAGGTTTTCCGAAAACCCTAGCATGCCATAAAACTTTCATAAAACATATATCGTATAGTGTGCTAACTAGTTGTATCATATATCAATGTCATACAGCCGAAGCCACCAACCTACGCCCCAACCGAAGCCAATATAAGTATCTCCCGACCGAATTCACCAACCTATGCCCGGCCGAAGCCAATATAAGTATCATCGCCCGTAGGCAGAACAGTGACCACTAAATACGCACAAAAACATTGAATATAATCTTTCCAACATAAGTACATATATCTCAAAGCATCTTCATAGTATATAGTCATCCATCATAAATATTATAAAGAGTGTAAAAGCATGTTCATAAATAGTATGTAGTCATCCATCATATATACCACAAAGAACATAAATTTGATAAAGTATGGTATCCCAAAATATTCTCAATAAAACATGATAATCGTAAAGTGTAAATCTAATTTACTCCTAAATTATTTCATAAACGTAACCATTAAATCATGTTTTTCATGTATACATTTCTACTATTAAAATATGCATTTTAGAAGGGGTCCACTCACAGATACTCCGTCGTCAAAGAGTCGTGCGAAATTGGAAGAACGAAATCGCTGCTAATAAACGCACCTAAGCACATAAAAGGTCAAATTAATAAAACTCTACTAAAACGATTGAATTTGGGAAAAAAGACATCAAAAAAGGATTCAGGACGTCAAATTACTCTAAGAAGGGTCCTTGGTAAATTTCAAAAAAGTCAACACAGGAATATTCCAGAGAATATTCCAACCGGGTTTGGGTTTGGGGCTACCGGGCCCAAGGCCCAAGTTCAAACGGCCCAAGGCCTAGGTCCAAAGGGATTTGGGTTGACTGGGGCTAAGGGTTTGGGCTCACATAAACTTGGGCTTAAAAGCTCGGCCCCAAGGTGGGGGGTTTTGGTTCTGGGTCAGGCCGAAGCCTTGGGTTCAGACCTAAGGGTTTGTCCCAAGGATATGGGTTGGGCTGCAAGGTTAGGCTGAGTCCCAACCTGGGTCCAAATCTGGGCCTAAGGGATTTGGGTCTAGTTTACCTATTTTCAAGTCACACTTTGGCCGGTTTCTGGGCTGGTTTTCAAATGCTCATAACTTATTTGTTACTCAACCAAATCAAGTGATACAAAAACCAAAGTTGTAGTACTCAACGAGATGAAGATATTGATATCTTTCATGTTGGCTAACTTGTCATGGTTTGGCCGGAACTCACCTCGAAATGGGCGGTGCTCGCCGAAAAGTTTGGAAAAGCTACTTTGAGCTATTTTCTGTGATTTACACGTATGTACAACTTCAAGCGAGCTTCGATCTAACCTTAAAACACATCCCAAGAGTTTCTAGAAGTTTACCAACGTCGTAAATCATGAAAACACGTCGTGGAAGATGATGAATAGTAACAACGTTGCTAGATGGTTCCTTAGCTTGTCACGGGGTTCCCGAAACTCTTCCATCCTCATTGCACTGGTTTGGGGTTGTTATGTGTATGTGTGAGTGAGTCACAAAGATGAGAGGGAGACTTTGCCGAGAGAGAAGGCACGGGGGAGAGGGGGTACGCATGTGAAGAGAAGGAAAATGATGAAAGAGTTGTGAAAGAAAGAGAGTGAGAGGGATTTTAAAATAATAAAAAAGGGATACGAAAATCCCAAAAAGGGAAAGGGGGATCCAAGTAAGGTGGGGGATAAGGGGACAAAAATCCCATGTAGGTCCCACGGTTCGTAAATTAATAGCATAAAGGACGAAACATAAAAATATCCGACAAAAAGTACAATAATTTGGGACGGGGTTTCACAATCTACCCTCCTTAAAAGAATTTCATCCCTGAAATTACAAACTCAAACAAACAAATACGGATACTGATTTCTCATCAGTTCTTCCGTTTCCCACGTCGTTTCCTTGACTGCATGGTTCCTCCATAACACCTTCACTAACGGAATAACCTTGTTGCTCAGGGTTTTATCTTGTTGGTTGACGATTGCCACTGGTTCCTCAACATAACTCACATCCTGACTCACTTCTAACGATTCTGGCTGAATAACGTGGAGGGGGATCTGATACATACTTCTGCAACATAGAAACGTGAAATACGTCGTGAATCTGTGACAACTCTGGTGGTAACTCCCATCTATAAGCAACCGCACCAATTCTCTATGTGATTCAGTAAGGGTCGACGTATCGAGGACTCAACTTTCCTTGCTTACCAAAACGAACTACACATTTCCAAGGTGACAATTACAGAAATACAAAGTCACCAATCTCGTACTCACGATCCCTTGAATGTCGGTCCGTGATACTCTTTTGCCGATCTTGAGCCAGCTTCATATTCCTCTTTATCAATTGGATGTTAGTATTAGTTGTATCGACAATTTTTGGCCCTACTAACAACCATTCACCAATTTCAGTCCAACACATGGTGTCTGGCACTCCTTCCCATACAGTGCCTCGAACGGTGCCATGCCGATACTGAAGTGGTAACTATTATTATAGGCAAACTCGATAAAAGACAAATAGTTATCCCAATTACCCTTCCACATGAGAACAGACACTCTCAACATGTCTTCCAATGTCTGAATTATCCCCTCAGATTGACCATCGATCTGTGGATGATATGCAATACTATACAACAACTGAGTATTCATGGCGTCATTGAATGCTCTCCAAAATCTGGAGGTGAATCTTGGATCTCTGTCCAAAACAATGATGATGGGCACACCGTGAAGTTTAACGATATTATCAATAAACAATCGTGCTAACCTCTTCAGTGAGTAGGTCTATCAAACAGGTAAGAAGTGAGCAGTCTTGGTGAGTCAATCTACAATCACCCATATGCCATCAAACATTGACCGTGTGCTCGGCAAACCATACACGAAATCCATGGTGATGTATTCCCACTTCTATACAGGTATATGGAGATTCTGCATTAGCCATTCAGGTCTCTATCTGTCCGCTTTCACCTGCTGGCAAATAATGCATCTCCTCACATACTCTACCACACCCCGCTTCATTCCGTACCAGTAGTAAAATAGACGAATGGTGTGATACAGTTTGGTACTTCCCGGATGCATGGCATACGCAGAGATGTGAGCTTCATTAAGAATTTCCTTATTCACCACTTCATTGTCCTTAGGCACAAACAGCCTATTCCCCATCACCAAGGCTCTATCTCCCTGGATTTTCAAATCTCGCCTAGAACCATTCTGTACTTGTTCCTTTAAGTCTGCACACTATTGGTCGAGCTTCTGAGCTTCCCGAACCAAATCCACCAAAACAAGCCTAATCTAGAAGTGTGCTAACAATGTTCCATGTGAATCTGGTGTCACTGCAATGCCGGTCAAAAAAACAGTAGCGGAACATGGATAGCTCGAATGGAGGCAAGTTATCTATAGGATTTCCGGCTCAATGCGTTTGTTACAACATTTGTGTGACCATGATGATACTTAATAGTGCAATAGTAATCACTAATGAGTTCCATCCATCTCATTTGTCTCAAATTTAGCTCATTCTGGGTGAAGACATACTTCAAACTCTTATGATCGATGAAAATGCAACACTTCTCATCGTACAAGTAAGGTCACCAGATTTTTAGAGCAAAGATCACTGCTCCGAGTTCCAGATCATGAGTGAGGTAGTTTCTCTCATGATTCTTAAGTTGCCTGGAAGCATAGGCGATGACTTTCCCATGCTGCATTAGAACACAACCCAATCTCGATAATGATGCATCACTGTAAATTTCAAACTCACCGCCATCATCTGGAATAGCAAGAATAGGGGCATGAGTAAGACGCTGCTTAAGCTCCTGGAAACTTTGTTCACAGCTCTCATCCCACTTAAATTTGACCTTCTTTCGGTTAACTTAGTAAGAGGCAGGGCGTTTGCTGAGAAATCCTGCACAAAACATCAGTAATAGCCAGCCAGTCCTAGAAAACTCCTTACTTCAGTAATGTTCCTCGACCGTTCCCACATAGACACTACAAAAATCTTTTGAGGGTCCACACTAATTCCCTCAGCGGAAACCACATGCCCGAGAAAACTGATATGGTCTAGCCAAAACTGACACTTACTGAACTTCTCATACAACTGATGTTTCCTCAACCTCTCCAACACAAACTTCAAATGCTTCATGTGTTCGGCATTACTCTTAGAGTATATCAGGATGTCATAAATGAACACAATTACAAACCGATCAAGATACGGTCTGAAGACTATGTTCATCAAATCCATGAAAGTTGTGGGTGCATTCGTCAACCCAAAAGGCATAACACGGAACTCATAGTGTCCATACCTAGTACGGAAGACAGTCTTCGATACATATTCATTCTGGATCAGCAACTAATGGTAACCCGTACGAAGATCGATCTTAGAGAACACCTGAGCACCCCTCAGTTGGTTAAACAGATCATCAATCCGAGGTAGGGGATAACGGTTCTTCATCGTCACCTGATTTAGTTGCCTGTAGTCCATGCAAAGTCTTATCAACCCATCATTCTTTTTGACAAACAGTACAGAAGCGGACATGTTGGGCTGGATGTAGCCTTTATCCAAGAGCTCCTGAAATTGAATCTTCAATTCTCTCAGCTCAGCTGGTGCCATTCGATATGGTGCTAAGGAAATGGGGTTGGTACCTGGAAGTAAATCAATGGCGAACTCGATTTCCCTTATAGGTGGTAATCCTGGCAAATCCTCATAAAATACATCGGTGAATTATTCACCACTGGCACATCTCTAGCACACAGAGAAGATTCATCCCGCGTGACTACGTGGGCTAAGAATCCCACACAACCCTTTTGTAATAACTTAGTCGTCTAGATGAAGGAAATAATACTATTCTGGAGAATCCGTCGCTCACCCTAAAATGTGATCGCTGGTCATCCAG